GTCTCTTTTACCCTGACTGATGTCTTTCAATTGAGGATTGCTTCCACCTTTTTGAGATCCATGCATACACCTTTTTCAGCTTCAATGATGAATTCTAAGTAGATTGTAAACTTGATTTCAAAATCTCATTTATCAATGTCTACTTGCAGTTCTGCTTCATGTAGATGATTGAGTATTTATTGTATGTGTTTGCAATGCTCCATGAGCAATCCATCAGTAAAGATCAAGATATCATTCATGTACACTGAGGTGATCTCATCAAGTAGATCCCATAGAGCTCAGTTAATGTATTTTTAAAATATCCTCAAAACATTCACCAATTCAAAGAGGGTTACTGTCCATTCATATAATTCATAGCACATACAGAAGACAGTCAGTCATTCATCATCTTCATTAATTCTTATCTTATAGAAGATCACAAAGATGTCAAGTTTTGTAAAACATTTTACTTTTTTTATTTGTTTGAATGTTTCATTGATGAGTGAGAGGGGATATCAGTTCTTTTGTGTAAGGTTGTTAAATTCTCAATAGTCAATGCAAAATCATAGACCTTCTTCAGATTTCTTTGCAAATAGTATCAACACTGCAATAGATGAGTTGTTAATACAGATGAATTCTTTATTCAGTAATGGTTGCGAAGCGCCGTCCGCGTGTGGTCTAGCGCGGATCGATTCGGTCTGGCGCTGCCCTGTTCGGGCATGGCGTTGACCCGCCGGTCAGCTTTGACTCTCCAACATCATCTGTCGCAACTATAAAGCTGCTTCAACTGCCTCCCTCACACACACACTTCTGCGTCCTTATTTCCCTTTCTCCCTTTCCCTTCATCCATTCCCTTTCTTTTCTCTTCTCTGCCCCCCTGCTGTCTCGTTCCCCCGACCCACTGCCACTTCGCCACCACCCAGCCGTCCATCACCCTGATTTGGTCGCCGCTGGTCGAAGAAGGCCTCTGCAGCGTTGGCATCAGCGTCGAACCCGCCTAGGCTTCTTTTTCATATATACCATATGTGTTCTTTGCCTTATACCTTCTTCCACTCCTCTTCCTGCTCCTTCACTCTCTACTCTCGTCTCGCATTGAAGTGATACATGCGATCTCAAAAACAAAACAAAATATATAGCTTATCACCCCCCGTATCCGCAAACTGGTCAACCCCGCCCACAGTTCCTCAGTCCCTCCGTAATCCCTCTCTTTCTTGCGCTTCAGACGTGCCTCCTGATCAGCGGCCAATGGCAAAAATGCCTCATTTCGGTGAAACCCCGCTAGGCATGGATCATCGATCCCAATTGCGGCGTCGCTGAACCGGCGCCATTCTTCCCCCGGACCTTGGGCTCATTCTTCGACTTTTTTTATTTGCTGGTGTCTCGATGTGTCGGACCAAGAAATAACAGGAAAGGGAGGTCGATCACATGCCGTGTTTCCGGCCTTCCTTCTGCCCGTGGTTCGAAGGACCGCAGTTTCAGCTCCGGTGTGATCAACCCCGCCAGGAAATTCCTGCGATATGGTACGCCAGCGAGCTGAAGTCGCATCGTCCGGTCATCCTCGCATCAGGCTTTCCGGAGCGTGTCTGCGCTGCGTACGCCATGTAGAGATGCAGGGATGGTGTGATACAGGAGGAAGTCGCAAGGCCGAAGGCATGAGGAGGCCGTGTAAGTGAGGCTATAGCTGCATGTGTGCACAGCTGTCATGTGCTGCTCATTCTCATTCTCCTTGAGGGATTCACATCCAATTCATCCATGGTCCTTTCATCTTCCATTTCTGGATCATTCAAATGAAATTGAACCTGGATGGGAGGAGGCTGTGGCGCTGCTTCTGCGTCCACCCGACAGATGATGGACATGGCTGACCGCTACTCACACCTGCTTAAGTTACATTCTGCTGTTACATGTGCAGTGGCCGATGGTGTTTGGTTTGGGGGGCCTGGCACTCATCAGCTCTCTTTTAAGCAGGTGTAGATTTTTCTGGCTGACAGGCTTATTTGGAGGAACACAGAGGATGGAGCTCTTGCCAGAGCCATGAAAACAGTAGATAAAATGGTCTGCTTTCCCCCATGGATTCACCACTGCTGTTTCAATGAACTACACAAGATCACCATCTCTTCCTGCGAACATGTGCAGCGACTGGAACATCTATACCCCTTCCAATCCCCCCCCGAGGGCCTTGAAAACTCCTCGGTCCCCTAACCCCGCGAATCTCCCCCTTTCAAGACCCATGCCCGCAAATCATCAACCACAATCCTCTTACCCTATACCTCCTGCATCCCAATCTCTCCAGACGGTCCCTGCATCTTCCATCAGCTCTCAAACACTCTACCATCCTTTGCCCCTCATCCTCCTCCCTCCAGTCGTCCTTCGCAATTTCCGCCTTTCCCCCCTTTCAAAGATCATCATGAGGTCCAGTCTCGGGCAGGGGATACTCGTCTGAATGACTTTGATGAATTCTTTGCGGGACTTGATTCTCTCTGCGTTCCCATCCCCAGTGATGCAGTCGTGGAATGCTCGAGCCGGTATTTGCAGAATGAGAGACTCGGTTCTCACAGTAGATAGCCAGCACACACACACACACACACACTCTCTCTCTCTCTCTCTCTCTCTCTCTCTCGCTTCCCTTTCTTTTTGTTCTATCTGGTTAAGCCGGTTTCTAACACCAGGGCGTCTCCAAGGTTTTCCTGACGGGGATGAGAACAGAGGCCAGGAGAAGGACGATGAATTTTTACCAGTTCCTTCACCCGCTGTAGAATGCGGCCTGATCGGATCCACCGGCACAAAGGCTCTTCTTGGCAAAGGCAGTTCAACATCCGCTCTGGATCCGACTCCACAAGCCGGCTTTTTGAAGCCGGGGTCAGATCAGAATACATCGCACAGATGAGAATGACCCTGAAGCAGTTCTGATGACCCTCCACCCTTCAATCCACCGATCATGGTAGAATCTGATGACAGCGCTACCAACGGGTCCATTGTTGACAGCACCTTCACATCTCCCACCAAATGAGACATTTCTAGCCGTGCAACATCCATATCTCACTCTCCCAAGGCGGATGGCAGAAGCGACAAAGCCAGCACTGGCATCACCAGTGGCTGTTCTATTTCACTCAAGAAACAATGCCGGAACGGGGCCGGTACCGGTGCCATACACCCCATGGTCGCGGTCGAAGTACCGGTCATCGCGGATCGCCTCGAAGAAGACATATTAAGCCAACTCCGGACCCACCAACGGAAGAGTCATGCATGATCAAGGCGTGAGGTCCCCAATACCCAGGACTGTAAGCTTCCCGGGATACCCGTGCAGTGTGTTGAAGACGACACGACCATGTCCGACACGGGTAGCTCGAGTGCACACTCTGACAATACAGACGATGACTACTGTGCGAGCAGTGAAGAGGATGATCCAATGAAACCACCATTGAAGCATCACAGGCTTCCCACACCGCCATCCGATGCTGTGTCGCGCCGTCCTTGGTTTCAGATTCCAAGGGCAGCAGCCGCTGCAGTTCATGAAGGTGCTGAACAGAAAGACAGCAAGATGCAAGCGATGACTGTGAAGGACCCTTACACAACCCCTCCGAACATTAATCATGGACTGGACACATACACCCACTCCCGACCTTCTAATGATGATGAGATATGTAGTTGCCCTCTTCCGTTGTTGGCCTGAGGGGAAGCCGTGATGCTTTCATCATCAGTGGTCCAAGTCATTTTCAAGATGGTCACAGGCTGTTCAATGACTGCCTCAGATCTCATGAGTGAGACAACAGCTGCAGCTGACACTGAAAGAGATTGCAGTGAACAGAGGGTCAAGGATCTGAATGGGAAAAGACATTGCTGGATTCAAGAGGAGGACAACCATCTAATGACTCTGAAGCAGGACGGCTTCTCCTGGACGGAGATCAAGGAGCAGTTTCCACACAGACAGCTCAGCTCATTGCAGCAGCGATGGTACACAAAATTTCAGAATACACACACAAGCAACCCTCCCACCGACAAGCTGAGGCAAGAGGGGAAATGTAAGCGCGCTCATGCATAGAATGTGTGTTGCAATGGGTATTTGCTGATGCCATGCGAGCCTACCAGGTCGTGCGTCGGCTGGTGAACCCCTTCCAATATCAAAGCCGCCCACACCCCTCGAAACTTCACATCACTATCCCGGCCGACAATCCCAACCAGCAGATGATCCAGCCACGCCAAATGCAAAACCCCGCACACCATCTCCATCCTCAACAGTGACCGCCATGTGCTCTGTGTGCAATTCTGTGGTCGAGGTGGAGGCTTCCAGTGCGTTCAATGCCGCCAACAATCGCATGCGGGTCCGCGAGCAGCTGCGGTTCTGTGAGAAGCACTGAAAGGAAACCGCACAGCGCAAGTGGCCCCGACTTCATTATCCCATCATTGCTTGGGACTGCTAGATGATCGGTTGACTCAATTCCATCCTCGCCTGCGCCGGATCCTCGATGATTCCAGGTACCGCTCCCGCTATAAGAGTGTTGTGCACAAGAAAGTGCGGAAGCATGGCAGGAAGATCCTCTCTCAGAGTGTCCTGCAAAGTACCAGCTACTATAGCCTTAGAGGCCATGAGATTCTGTGAGTGAAGAAACACACCCTCCAACCCCAATCCCGCGAACCCACTGGAGGAACCTCATCATTGACCTTCCCCCCAGCTCAGCGCATGTCATGTCTCACTTTAACGATGCCATCGACTCACTGGCCGGCATCGATAGCGTGGCGTCGAAATATGGGACCGTTGTGTATGCCCAGGAGGTCTTGGTTCCCGAACTGCTGGAGATGTTGGTTCAGAAGGACATGGGAGTCGATGCCAAAGAGGCCCGCTGGATTCTGAAGGAGAGCAACAAAATCGGGAATTTGCTTAATCTTGAGTGAATCGGGAACATCCTTGTAGTAGATTATCTAGCTGATTTAGCAAGCTGTCTAAGAAGTGGAGTGAACCTAATTACAGAAATAATTGGATGCGTTAAACGCTATGTATTGAGCAGGCGAATATATAAAATGATGCTCATTCGCCAGAACCTCCACGTCTGGTTTTTGTCTCGCGGACAGCCACGGCAAGGTATGAATCCTACAACTCTGACATGGCATTTATCCATCTACGAATAAAAATTTTACAAAATTAAACAGTAGATACATTATGCCCTCAAGATTGATCTCTCCAACAAGCTCTTGTGGGAGTATCGCTGGTCGTTGTCAATCCAGAAAGCCCGTCACGATAGAACGAACAACTTCGGGATTAACCTTGACAATTAATCCAGTCCGGCCCTGCGAATTTCAACAGCAACTGCGCAACACCACTACAAACTTCGCACGTTACAATAAGAAGCCCTGGGGACCAGGCCTTTGAAGAAAGGGGATAATTGTAATAGGAGTAACGGAAGTATTTCTATTGTCTATAAGTGTGTTGGAAATAGATAATATCCAAATATTGACTCAAAAACTGAATACCGGTAGATAATTGAATTGCTTATTCTGACTCCAATAATTACACGCAAGGTTAACCGTCTTAGAGAGAGCATGCCCTTCAAAGCGTAAAGAAGGCCTATGCCAAGATCTACGCGCTAGCCAAATGGCGGTAGTGGATAGGACGTACTTTGTGCTATGATTGCTGTTATGAATCCAGGGTCTTATTGTTGGGGGTTTGGATTGGTTCGTCCCCGCATGGCGCTGGTGTGATTGAGCTCCTTTGCCCCAGTGGCCTAACACTTATGTGAGCTGGCACAGCTACGCGGACATATCACAGGACCTATCCTGGCCTATGACCTTTGACCAAAGTTCTTTGCAGATACAAAACAGAGCAGATTTTGTGGTAGACAAACCATCACTTTCAGACCCATGCCAACTGTTTTAGATAGTTTCTAGATCAATAACACATTACATATAAAATTGCTCAGTAACGACTTTTTTTCGCTACCTGTTCAGGATTTCTTGGAGGAGGAAGAAAAAGTTTTGTGAGAACCTTAATAAAGAATTCTTCGAAGTCTTTTTGTTTGCCTAAGGATGCTACGCTGTCCAGTTGATGTTGCTCAAAACATATTCGGAAATAAGATAATCCGTTCCGTTCACCTTGTTCACTCAACGTTGTTTTCCGATTTGTAATTAAGCACATACAAGCATTGTAGGGAGATTACGATAGGATTATGCCTTTAAAATGGATCCGAAAATACAAGAATTGTTGGCTGAACTCGAGCGAGAAAGAGCTGAACGTGAGCGAGAAAGAGCTGAACTTGATCAGGAAAGACAATGGCGTCAAGATGCGGAAGCTGAAGCGAGAAGCGAAAGAAGGCGACGTGAAGAAGCAGAAGCTCTGGCTGAGCTCAGAGTCATCAACACTGCCTCTCTTTTTACATGCCTGCCATGAATTGTTAGTCGCGATCGAGGTCGTGACAGACCCTACTCGAACAACTCAAGGCGCGGTAACGAGACCGACAAATCGGAGGGTTCCATCTCACATCACATTGTGGGAAACATTCACTGAGGAGCAAATGAAGGTGTGGCACAAGCTCGATCAGCATCCCCATTTCTTGACAGAAAAGCTCTTCCCCTCCCTACATCAGCTCGACTACGTCCGCCAACTCATCAGTCCAATTTCCTCAGAGTGGGATCTTCGGTACTATGAACGGGAAACGGTAGAAAATCAAGTGCGGGCCATAATAGACCGAATATATGAGAATGATGAGCTTAAGAGGGCATTCGTATTGCGCGGATCGATTACCTTTGAAAGCCATGCTAACCTTGGGCTTTCAACACGGGCGGCTGATTTGAACCCGGGTGATCAGCAGTCGTCCATTGAATCCATCGTCGGGACTGAATCAAGTACCGGAAAGAGAGTGGGCAAGAAGAATAAAACAAAGAAGAGGGAGACCACGATGGTCACGGGAGGACAGGCAGATCGATTCTGCATCTATCGCCAGGATGGCGATGAGCACATCCCAGCGCTCGCTATCGGGTACATTCATCCTTCCAAAGAAGTAATTGGTAAGGACCCAGATGATTCTGATTTCTGCTCGAAGTGGTTAGTCGCTGCCGTCATCACACAGCTGTTCTCCTACATGGTTGCCAAGGGAGTCCGGTACGGCTATGTGTGCACCGGAGAAGCCTTTATCTTTCTACACATTCTTGATGATCCGTCATCCGTCATGTGTTCCGTCTGTACTCCCAGCCTAGATGTTGAAGAAATCAATGATGACAGTCTCCGTTTAACCGCCGTCGCTCAGGTACTAGCATTTACCTTAAGAGCTCTAGAGTCCCCTCCTGCCCCGCAAGAATGGTATGATGCCGTCGCGGAACTTGGCATCTGGCCGGTTGAATACTCGGATATCCTCGAGCAAACACCTCCAAGCGCTCGACAGAAGCATGCCTCACCTCTGTATCGGGGCCGACGCCCTTCCAATCTTCCTCCTTTTCAGATGACATTACGACCCAGATGTCGGCCACACGCAGATATTGTACCTCAATCAAGAAGCCCTTCCCCCTCAATGTCTCCGCCTCCATCTCCGTTGTCGCCATCCGCACGCCGTGGACGAACCGCAAACGCTCGAGCCCGCTCTAACCCGGATCAAAAATCTGGTAAGAAAGGGCAATCCAGCGAAGACAGCGATGTCAATTGGATAGACCATGCTGCTGAACCACCAAAGATCAAAAGCCAACCTTACTGTTCCCAGCAGTGCTTGCTGGCTCTACGAGACGATGGTCCGCTCGACACCTCCTGCCCGAACTATCTCACTCACCTTAAGCGACGGATCCAGCCAGCGGAGTTTCGTGCTCTTATCCGAGAGCAGCTCTCCAGGGACCGTGGCCTGGATGCCAACTGTCGCCCTCTCTACAAGAAGGGAAGTTGTGGGGCAGCTTTTAAAATCCATCTTTTGTCGCATGGCTACACTCTACTCGCAAAGGGCGTCGAACGCAACAATTTACATAAACTCGAACATGAAAACAAAGTATACCATAGGCTTCACGATATTCAAGGCAACTACATTCCGGTTTGCCTCGGGATTGTTGTGCTTGACCCAAAATACCCGTATTACTATGACGAGGGAGTTTATACCCATATGCTCCTTCTGAGCTGGGCGGGAAAGCCCATCTCCGAAATTATGAAATCGGATAATTCGGCATGCGTGATTGAGATGACATCAGAGTCTCTTCAAGCGATTCACCTTGCAGGTGTACTGCACCGTGATGTCGAGCCACGAAATATTTTATGGAATGAGGGCTGCAATCGCCCTATGCTTGTAGATTTTGAACGAGCTGAGATGCGAAATGCGCTATCTGCTATATCACCGAACCTTGGGCTAAAGAGGAGAAGGCTTAGGAAGAACAGATCTATCTTTTCTAAAGAACTTTCAAAAGCTCAGATCAGCCTGGAGCGCTGTGGGGAATTGCTCCATCAGAATTCCGCCTCAAAGTTCAAGGAATAGCACCATTGAACTCAGTTGGACAACTATGCACGATGAGCCGCTACAATAATGATTATTAGAAAAGCTAACATTCCAGAGCGTGAAGGAGCGGGCCCACAAGATTATCCTGTTTTGATCTTTTGATAACTAGTGCATGTTTAAAGATTTTAATATCATTGGACTTTCAAACCTAATATCATGGAACATAACCCCCATGGACCTCCCCGATGACCCTAACAATTTATGGCTCGTACCCTAGCCCAACCAAACCCAACTTTCCCCCGACTCCCACCCGTAGTAATAAATTGAGAGTTCTTTTTGTAGCGAGTATTTTCATCTCATACTTCTCTGTTGATTGAGTATGGCACCACTCATGGACCACAGGATGTACATCCATGTTTGGTTCGCAGAGAAGTTATAGAGGGCACTAGGGTCATTGTATGGAATATGAAGAAGAACGATAGCAAATCCATTAGTTATGTAGGAGTACTCCAGTCCACATCATTCCTTCATGTATGTTCAAATGGTCTGTCTATTATGAATGAAATGCAAAAGAAAAAAAAATGGAAGCGCATCTCGTATTCCAGTTTACTGCATCTATCGCAGCGTCCGCGTGCACAGGAGGCGGTCTCGCAGTTTGGTTGATTTCGATTGCACAAAGGAATCCTTGGAGACTTCCCTCGCAGAAGTCAGTCATTCTGTGCCAGACAGACATAGGACTTCTAGTATTTGTTGGATCAATTGTTTCGCTTGTCCTTGCTGTCTATGAGCCAATCTATAAAAATGGTCAGGAGCAGACTCTGAGTAATTTGACTGGTCTAAACAGTCTACAATATTCCCAAGAATCCTGATCTCAACCACCGAACCTCCCTCTAATTACTTTTTAACAGCCTTGAAATATTGTGAAGTCCTGAGGATCGTCACTGGGAGATAGAATCCTTCCACACGCGTCAATGAAATTTCCAGATCACGTGATATAATCAGCACCTGGCTCCTTCAGAAAGAGAGTTATCCACGGGGCGCGTTAGCGGCGTTATAACATGACCCCCCCCAAATAACCAGGTTATCCCGGACGCCACCCCAGCCAAACCCCCCCCTGGATAACTGAGTTATGGGGGGGGGGGTCTGCTTGGCATGTTATCTTGGCTGTTATGAAGGCTTTGTACGATATGATTGGTTGAGAAAAATAGCATGTGTATTGGTGCTATTTAGATATAATCTGCAAGCTAGCTAGCTATTCTAATTTCTATCTATGGCCTGCTTGGCTTCACCATATAGGCTACTAGTCCTGGGCACCAACGTAGAGGTGCAGGTCATGTCCAGGTGTCGTACACAGGCTCCGTACGACTGGAGTGGGCATGGGCATGGGCATGGGCAAAAAGAAAGAAAAGAAAAAGAAGAAAAAGAAGAAAGGGATCATACATAGCAGGGGGAGAGCTATTCCAGAACAATAGGAGCAGCAGGTGTTGAACCAGCTGTGAGAAGCTGCTGCCCGGGGGGGGGGCCCATCTGCCGTTGAGGGCCATCCTCATCATCATCATCACCATCCAAGTCAATCACCTCTATACCCCCATCTCATACGGAGCAGCGAGCGGCATGATCCCGCCACTTACAGTTGCCACAGGCTCCACCAAAGTGGCCAGGCAGACGGCGGCATTCTGGGAATGGACGTAAGCCTGGGCCACCCCGGCAGGCCAGGCACGCGTGTGGCTCCGGCCGGCCATGAGATTGTATGAGGAGAGCATTGATGTATGATGGATGATGGGTTCGAATCTGTGCCTCTGTCATGGCGCCCTGTACAAACAGCACATCTCACTCAGAGAGTGCCAGAACTGCCCTGGCCTGCAGACTGTGGGCAAAGAGGTTCAGCTGTTGACCAGCAATGAAGAGGGTGTGATGGGGGTCCTGAGGATGATCGAGGCTGAGAAGCGTGAGAGCTCTATGTCATTGTATGAAGAAGGAGAAGAGAGTGGTTAGCCTTGTGATCTCTAGCTGATGAAGCAACCTACCTGACCTTTATATGTACATGATGGATATGATGGCGTGATGAAAGAGAAAGAAGAAGAGAAGAGGAAGAAGAGAGAGAAGAAGGCGGTATAAATAAAGAGGTTGACAGGCAGGCAGACAGACACAAGATGGCAGGTGCAACTCACTGCTTTCTTATTCACCTTCTTTATCAACTCACCATCTCACTGCCACCTCCGTACGATGAAAGAAAAGATAAAGTTAGAAGTAAGCAAGCAAGTAGACAGTACTAGAAGCAATGAGAATGAGATTTAATTAATCAAGTCTATCTTCTGTCTATCTATCATACACACACTCTATTCTATGTTAGTATTATACAAAACAACTCTGTATGAAGAAGAATAAAGAAGAGAAGAAAAGAAAACAACTACTTCTGTCTCTGCTTCTTCAACAGCTCTGTCAACTTATTGAGAGAGAGCTTTCCCTGCTGCTGCATCAGCTTCACAGATTCCACAGCAGCATTGACAGTTATATCAAAGGCTATCTGTGTACAGATCTCATTGATGATGATTCTACAGCAGCAGAACATCATCTGCTTCTTGAATGAGCTTTTATGCCAGTCATCCCTCTGATTCTTCAGACTCTGTACAGATGGGCCACCTCTCAGACCAGCAGTCCACTCCCGCCACAGATCAGACACTGACTGAATTGTATAGAAAAGAGAATACTGATTCTCTATTCAGAGAGGGGTGAGAAGCACAGCTGTCAGATCTGCAGAGTTTGACTCTGCAGACTTTTATATGATGTCCTCAGCAGAGGCAGAGGCAGAGATGGAGACAGAGACAGAAGAGAAGAAGATAGCAGCAGCAGAAGAAATGACAGTTCAATTCAGCAGCAGAGCTCTGAATCTGAATAGAGTTCTGAGAAATTGCCTGTATGAAGAAGGTGATTTGATCATCAATCAGATCAGCAAGCTGCTGAGTCATCTTCTGCTGCAGCTGCAGATTCTCATGACCTCATTTATCAATGAACTGAATCAACTCCTGCTGTACATTTCTTAGCTGACCAGCAATGGCAGGTATCACTCACTGAATCTGAAGCTTCTGAGGCTTCACCACTGTCTCAAGGGTCTGAATAATCTGAAGAGCATACTTCTGATAGTCCTTCTGTACAAAGAGTGGATCTGACCACAGAGGGTGGTCAGAAAACTGCTGTTGCAGCACCACAGAGTTCTGAAGAATCACTGTATGAAGCTGCTTCAGCAGGTGAAGGAATTCCTGAGCTGTTAGATTCTGCTTGTCCTTCAGTAAATCATTCATCTCAGAGTCTTCAGCTTCAATCTCATTCTGCATCTGCTCTGTCTTCAACTCTGCCTCTGTCTCTGCCTCTGTCTCTGTCTGCCCCTTCTGCTGATCCCCGTACAACTCAAATCTATTCAGTCAGACATCCACCCATGGCCAGATGGCTGTCTCCAGCTGCTCAGAGGGGGGGACAGTCACCCGGGGAAGGAAGTAGTTGCTCTGAGCCTGTGGCTCAAACCCTGCCATCGCCTGTACGAATTCGCAGGGGATATTGGTGAGATAGCAGTTGATCAGAGCATCATTGTTCCATCGGCCAGCCCAGTGGATCTGGCCCTCTGACACTCCATTCAGCTCAGCATATCTGGACCCCTGACTCCGGCCAAGATGAGTCTTTTTACTTGACATGAGCCCAGTTGTTGCATACATACGATTGACCCACTGCAGCTGGGTGTCGTACGACAGAGGCTTGAGAGGATCCTGACCACAGAGAAGATGAATGTCATATCAGAGGAATCATCTTTGAAAGTTGGGTGGGGCCTTCCATACGATGTTCCAGTGGTAGAACAGATAGAATGCCAGATGGGATATCATACAGAGCGGAGGGGTCTTGTGTCTCACCACAGCAGTATATTCCAGCCACCCCAGCTGATTGGTCTTATCATTGTCTGTGATGAGAATCATGGGCCAGCATGGGGTGGGGCCCTCATTTGGAAGCTGGATGGTAAAAAGATCAGGCAGCTGTGCCGTACGGGATGTCTCCCCTTGCAGAAGCATGTTGTGGTTCATGAGGAAGTTCAACTCTGTATGAAAGTGGCTCAGCACAGATGTCTGATCATTCTTATACCAGTCTGGTCAGCAGAACTTCATCAGATGAAGCATCATCCTCTCATTGTATTCATTCTGCAGGGTGTTGACTCCCCAATCCACATACTGCAACCACTTCCATACAGTCTTCTTAATCTCATGACTGCGAAGAACTGCAGTCACCATCTGTCTGTGGGGGTAAGAGGAGGAGTTCAATCCTCTGCTCTGCTGGAATCTGTACAGATCCACCACTGCCGCCACATACAGCTTGACTGTGCTTCAGCCCACAGTCTGAGGAACAGCTTTGCCATCCCTGTCCGTACGGATGTTTCCTTCTTCTCTGTCACCAACTCTCCATCCTCAAAGCCTGTCTTCATACAGAAGTTCTGTGATTGATTGTGTTAGAATTAGATCTTATAGCCAGCTTCTTTGCTCACTTATCTGCCACTTCTTCTGCTTGGGCAGATACTGCTTATTGGTGTTTTTTGGCCGGTTCTTCACGGCCTTGGCCAGGGCCTGCTCTCCATATGAGAACAGCTTGTTACTGATCTGAAGCCGCTGATTCATCTCAGATGAAAGATTGAAGGACAGAGGCAGGGATACCATGATAGTGATAGTATTTCAAGAATATTAATGATATTTCTCCAGCTAAAAAACAGTTAAATCTAAAGAATGCCTGCTTGTACGGACCAGGGGTAAAATCTGGATGACTAAGATTGGTTATTTGAGGGCTTGGCTAACATAACTATATACTAACTTCTATTGGCTGAAGTGTTTACATGGTTTAGTTAATTATCAGGTTTTTTCACAGTTTTTCCCTGATAAGCATAGACTGGTTGTCAGGTGTGATTGATGACTTTCTAGAGGCTTGTTAGCCTCCTCTGAGATCTATGAATGAATTGTAGAATGCTTAACTAAAAAGCCCCACATGGAGGATAACATAGTTATGTGGTTTTCTAGTACATTAATAAGTGTGGCCGCCATAGCCTTAGGCTGCATGCGGCCTGTGAAAAATATGAAGAATAATAATAATAAATAATAATGATAATGATAATGATAATGGGACTGAGGAGAAATTTAGTCCCAGTCCCATGCATGGTCACACAGTCAGTCTACTCATTCTAATCCTGATCTCACTTAAAATCATGCCAAGAAATGGACTGAGATCAAACCAAACCAAATCAAATGTGTAATTCATGGTCCCACCAGCCACTCTAGCCTTACAGATCGGGGTAGTGATGAAGAGTAGAGGATCGATAATATAATATAAAATAATAAGAGATTCCGTTTTTGTATCTTGGTTATGTCCATATATATATATTGAAAATTTAAAAAAATAAAAATAAAAATAAAACAAAATGCTAATCAAGTGCCCGCCGTTTCCATCCATTTCCCATTCCATTCCCGCTCTGCCAGCCCATTGCGCTGTTACCCATGCAAAATTTAAAAATTATGCCGCCCGGAGAGAAACCTCTATGCCAAAAAAGAAAAAGAAAAAGAAAAAGAAAAGAGACTTAAAAAAGCCAACCTTTTGAAAAAAAAAATAAATAAATAAATAAAAGTGGTGGGTATCTTTGAAACAAAAGCATAGATAGATATTAAATAAATAAATGAAAAAAAAAAAAAAAAAAAAAAAAAAAAAAAAAAAAAAATGAGATTCCGCTCTGAAGAGATGGGATTGGTTGGTTGATGTGTTGAACACGGGGTTTTTATTTATATATATATATATATATTTTACTTCTTCTGTGTGCTTCGATAGTAAAAAATTCTATCTATATCAGCAAGAAATCCCAGTTGTTTTGCTTCATAACATCACGCCAGTGGATGTTCGCAAGGGGGTTGGGGGCGGGTTTCTGGTGGCTGTGCTCATCACCTGAGGCGGTGGAGGCGGTGGAGGCGGTGGTAGCAGATGACAGGCTTCCGCCCGGGGTTGTCGAGGCGGACACCGGAGTCGGGAGGAACGACACGTCTGAAACAGCAGCCACCACCACGAGGTCGGCCTGGCGCCAGACCTCGCGCAGCAGACAGGCCATCCGACCGAAGCTGCCGTTCCCGCCGGCGGGGCCAAGCATCTCGGCGCGGCGTTCGAACATGGAACGGAATGGGCTGGTCGGAGTGGAGAAGGCGCCGCAGATGAGGAATGGCCAGACAAGGGAGCGGTCGAAGCCGTCCGCACCGCCGGGGATCAGGTCTACCAGGTCCGCAAAGTCGGAGATCAGGCGCATGGTTCCGACTTGGGTGCGATGGAAGCCCGGGACAAGGCTGCAGAGGTACACGCGGGCGGCGAGGCGGTAAAGCGCCGTCATGTTCTGTGAGAGCTGGCATGATTGGAGGATACCGGTGTCGTTCGTTGGATATGCGAGGGATCCTGGTGGTGGCTCGGTGCGGTCGAGCTGATGGGCGAGGGCGGTGACGTGCGAGCAAAGCTGGAGGTCGTCGATGCAACCTTCGATCTTCAGCGCGTCGAGGCAGGAGATCTCGGAGATCAGATACATCACGCGGTCCTCGCAGCCCATCAGATCATATAGCCCAGAAGAGGAGCCGGCCAGGAGCTTGGTGCGGTAGAGGTGTGCGCACTGCGGTGTCTTTCCCAGCATCGTTGAACCCAGGATGTCGATCCAAGCAACCAGAGTCATGTCGAAGGGTGCGGGGATACTGTGGTTGTCCGCGTCGAGCAGCATTTGCGGAAGGCCAAGCCTAGCGATCAGTTCGGTGACGGGCTGGAAGTGCGAGTGCCATGGGATATCGAGCAGCACATCATTCGGGCAGCCAACGGTGCATGGAAAGAGGATCATGGCCAGTATCGCGTCCAGGATCTGGAGATTGTCCGTGTCCTGCGTCAGAGCCTCGTTGAGCTCCTTCACCGCCTCCCCGCGATGGTTGAGGATGGCGTTATCAAACCGATCGCCATTGCCGCAGTCAGTAGCCTTGAGATGCATGGCTGCGATACTCAGGCAACAGTGCAAGTAAGGCTTGTTGGCCTGCAAGGCGGGTAAGATACGTGATTGCACGATACCGTGTTGTCTCGTCTCCAGAACGGGGAAAACAAGTGGAATGATGTGCTCGAAGAAATGCTCCAGAAGGTGACGGTCGCCATCGTCAAGATTGAACATATCGGCGATGGTGGGCTCGGGTGGCAGGGTGAAGAAGCCGAAGTCGCTCGCTTCCGGTGAGCTGAAGGATTCCTTGCAACTTTCGAAATACTCCTTCTGAACCCAATCATCACCCGGGAACGTTGGTAGGGTGGCATGCGACAACGGTGGCTGGAAAGTGCTGAACGTGGAGATGGAAGAATCTCGCCGGGTGGGAATATCATTAACGTATAATTGTCGCTCCGTCTTGATGTCGACTTCGTATGGCGGTGCCGTTCCGTAGAAGGCGGCGGCCTCGAAATGGGGAGTCTGGAGTTGGGATCCGAAGGGGTCAAACGGATCATGCGACGAGAAGGGAAAATCGTGCAGCTCATGTTCCAGGGAGAAGTGCGACTCGGCCGACGGGGCGCGAGTTCCATCCAAGCCATCCGAATAGCTGTCGATCGTTGGGGCGGAATGTGTCAGGCTGGGGGTGGAATGGGCGCAGCTGTTTGCGCGGGCACTGGCACTCGCGCACGCTTTCTCATTGAGCTTGGTCTTCTTGATGATGTCCTTGATCAATTCCTTTTGGATGCGCCGTTGCTCGTTGTTCCCCCACCATACGGGCCGCTTGTATTGGCATTTCAGCTTCAGGTTCTTGCAAGCTTTGCAGATCATCTTTCCCTCGTCGCACTTCTTCCTTCGCAGACGACAGGTGAAGCACCCTAATCCAAGAGAGTGTATAATATAAGTATTGGGGATTATAGATTTCTTTCCGGGGTGAATTCGGGCAAACATACCTAATCTGGAGCGTCGATGGGTCTTCTCAGCCATCTTCGAGGGGTAGGAGGAGGAGTCTCCCGCAGGCCTGGCCGAGGATTTGGGAGTGGCCTTGCGCGAGTTCTTGAAGACCTTCCCGGCCGGGGTTGACGCGGAGGAAACCATGTTTGCGGGAGTAGTAGGCACCTGTGCCTTTGCCAGGGGGGCGATGGTGGTGTAGGACATTATTATTAATAGGTAGTAGTAGTAGTAGTAGTAGTAGTAGTAGTAGTAGTAGTAGTAGTAGTAGTAGTAACCAACAACCATAAAACACAACACGAGACAAGATCCTGCTTGTCTGGGTTCCCGACCTGAGCAGGAGCCGTGGTTGAGTAAGGCAGATAGAGAGAGATATAGAGAGAGAGAGAGAGAGAGAGATATCAAATCTCAAATTAGGCGAGGGTTGTATAAGCCGGGGTAGGTTCCAGCAGCGGCATGCGACGGAGATCGGATTGATTCGAATGTATATATATATATATATATATATATATATATATATTAGGAGTTGTATACAGCAAGGAATGGCGTAAAGCTTGGCCAGCAGGCTTTGTGAAGGAGAGAGGGCGTATCTGTCGGATGAGGTAAGAGGAGGAGAGGAGTGAAGACGAGGAAGGATGATGGATAGGATGATGGATAGGATGATCGGATGGTAGAACCGAAGATAGACAGGTAGACAGATATAGTCGTGGAAGAGTAAGAGAAGAATGTCCAGCAATTCGATGCCGCGCGCTGCCGTCTAGCAAGAAGCACTCTGAAGCTCTTTGCAGCATCCAGGGCAGCCCGCGTTATAAGAATTACAAGAATCCCTCGGCTGAGACCGATCCCGCCAAAAAGCCAAACAAGGGCCGTTTCTATTTTTGACCGTCCGCGGTGGATCAGATGCACGATGGCGCGCCGCAACGGGACTAGGCCCACTGGATGGACGGGGAAACCCTCGGGACAGAGCCTAATTGGGCTTAATTGGGCGAGTGGGGAAGTTGGCGAGTGGGCGAGTGGGCAGGAAAAGAAACAATCCTCAGCCATTGATTGGCCAGACCATCGTGCCTGGCCTCTCCATCTCTAAAAAAAAAACCATGCAGGCCATACCCGCTTAGGCAGGAAGCAGAGGGTCGGCGGGAAGTTGCTCGAACGCTGCTGGTCCGTTGAGTGGTCAGGGTGGTCAGGGTGGTCAGTGGGTTGGGCATGGCGGGCGATAGGCTGGATGGCGTGCAGTCCGGGCAAGGGAACCACTAGTTAGCTGCACCTAAAAATTGATTGATCTATCTCTGCAGACTCGGCTAGTGCAGTGGCACGACAGGGCACACATCCACAGAAGTTCCCGATTGTTCACAGAATGGTTCTGTCAGAAAAGGGGGGAGGAAGGGGGGAGAAACATCCATGGACCAGCGGCGTACGACTGTTTTGCTGCTATTTCGAGCCCCTCCAGAGACACTACGATGAGCACCCTGAACTTGCGTAAATTGGTGATGTACCCATTTTTCCCCCGTGTTCCCCCCAATGGCCCTACATAGGAGAGTTACTCTGTGCTCCGTAATTCCCGCAGAGAAAAGCAGATGTGCTGTACTCCTCCGTATAAGGAATACCATTGTTGCTTGCCATGCTGATTGGCACATCAGTCCTGCTAGTTTTCCAATGGTGGGAGAGATAGGACACATCGGAGAGAGAATGTGTATCCTCAGGCCAGTGAGAGCTTTGTACTCCGTAGTGGAACGTTGAAATAATGTAACCACAGGTGTCCCGGTAATAATTTCCTGTCTGTCCACGGGGTCACGGGGTCACGGGGTCACGAAGGGAGAGCAGGTGAGGGGAGAAAGGAAGGCCATGGACTCGCACCCCGTGAGTGGACTGCTGCCGTATGGACGTCCCCTCCTTTGGCGCTCGATTCGATCGGCGAGCTCGAGCCAAATCCCGTGTTGTGCAGCAGGGAGGGGCAGCGGGCAAGGGGATTGGGTGCGTGCAGAAGCACCTGCAGCCTTGGCGCAATTGAGCCAGCAACGCTGCATGGGCGAATCAGAGCCCGGCATCAGTCATAGGTTCGTCGCAGCGAGGTTAGTCGGGAGTCAGACCTCATTGTCTGATTGGCCCGATGTTTGTCAACGGTGGGTCCGGGTGGGGCCCCGACAGAGTTGCCGCGTCTCCACTTTTCCCCATTTAGCAGCAGATTTAACCGCCCAACCGTGGATGGGAGAACATCTCCCCCACACTCCCAACTGAGCCAATCACTGCGCGATGCTGCACCTTCCTCTATCACAATCACGATTTACTCTACAGATGTAGTACGACAAAGGATTCGGGGAATCATCAGTGGTCGGTCACTCCCTAATCACTCACTCCCTCACTCACTCACTCACTCACTCACTCACTCACTCATTAGCCCCCGCAGCTCCAGATTGCTTCGTTTTCTATTAATAAAATCTACCCCTCTTCCGGGCCAATGCGTACTTTGCACGGAGAACCTTCCCCCTCGGAGTATGCCCTCGGCCGATCTGCCATTGAAGACATAATTAGCAACAATCTCCTTTTGTGCGCTGTTGGAAGCTTCTTCCGGTCCGGTCCCAGGTACTTTTTTGATCCGACCAGATCAACTGTCTCGTGGATGCGCCAGGGCGAGGCCAACAACGTGTTCGCCTTTCTCCCGCCCTACAAAGGTCTACCTATTACAACCAGAGATTCGTTATTATCATTATTATTATCATTATTACGAACCCGAACGATGAAGCCCCATATTTAATTCAATGGTGATACCAAAGTCCCAGCGGCAAAAAGCAACCAATCCCCTTTTTAAGCTGCTCAATGGAATGGTTCCTCCATAGTTAGTTATATATACTCCGTATATATATAAATCTTCTATCCTCCTCCCATCTTTCCTTTCCTTCCGTCGTTCATGCTCGTACCAGTTCGGATCGCCCCTCCTCGTCACACGAACTACATACATCCGTATACGAGGGGCCCTCCCCCATGTATTATGTATATATATCCTTCATCCAACCTCCCAGACATCTCCTCGCTCTCTCTAGTACCTACCAGCCAAGAAGGCGTGATGAGTGAAAGGAACAGAGCAAAACAAAAACCACGAAAAAAAAAAAAAAAAAAAAAAAAAAAAAAAAAAAAAAAAAACCCTTCGATCTCGATACATGAATACGAATTCCGCTCTTCTGCTGCATAAGCCGAATTGTGTCTCCCCTCCCCCCCCAACCATTTTCCAAACAAGTGCGGGAAGGCAAGGTAGGTGAGGAAGAGTAGAATCGAAGAGTTAAGGCGCATTGGCAAATTTTTTCTTCCATACTAACAAACTCATGTTAAGTTACTTACTCCGTCGTCCCCTGGTCCGCGCACGCGCATTAGCTAGGTTGCTGGTAACTAGTTACGCAGCGTAATTAGTTAACTATAGAATACGCGAGTGTGTGTGAGATGATATTGGAAACAAAGGCTTGCTTTGCTTTGGTAAGCCCGGCGTTGGATATCAGAGTTACATTTTTGGTGAACTTGAACTTTATTCGGTTTTTTTTCTACCTATTTCTTTTTTTTTTTTTTTTTTACCTTTTTTTTCCTTTTCATGTTTATGATGTAGAAATCGGGTTTTGCGATGTGATGGATACTACGATATAGTATGTATGATTGTTGGATAAATGGTGGTGGTGCGGTTGCAGGACGAGACTGACGTGACAGGGTACACTAAGATGAGAATGGAGAAGGCTTGCGGCGTGTGGTGGGAGCTGTTTGCCTGTCCTGTGCTGCTGGCCTGATGCCTGAGCTGCTTGGTGACAGCCTGCTTCTTCCTCAACATCAATGGTTCCCGCCAGCTTGCGTCTCCCACACCTCATATGGAGATGCCACCCCCCATATCCATTCTTTTGTCACGGAGAGTCCTAGCACCATCCCTAGCATCGTCAAGGGGTTGTTGTTGTTGTTGTTGTTGTTGTTGTTGTTGTCCAAAAGTGATACCCAGGTCACTCCACACCTCACGCCCTCTACACAGGACGGACGAAGAGCCTATAGCTTCTGAGACTTCCCCTGACTATAAATTCATTGAGAATTGTGAGCCGCTAGAACAGTACTCCCCCGGCGGGTTTTGTCCTATAAAGCTTGGGGACCAGCTCTGCGATGGGCGTTATACCATTGTCCACAACCTGGGATTCGGTGGCAGCTCTACGGTCTGAAAAACTGCAGATTATGCATTACCATCATCATCATCATCATCATCATCATCATCATCATCATCATCATCATCATCATCATCATCATCATCATCATCATCATCAGAGTCTCAAGAAGTAGACTTTCTCAATCACCTTCATTCACATCCGTTGATCAGGAAGCTGCTCGACAGCTTCGTTGAGAATAGTCCCAATGGAGCTCACGATTGCCTTGTCATGGAACCAGCCAGTTGTAGCTTGATGCATTCAAAGTCCTCGGCCGCCCATGCACTACTGGAGCTTCGTCTTGCGTGAGCTGTTGCTGCGGATCTGGTGTTAACCGTCCAGTTCTTACACCGCCAAGGGATTATCCACGGTGGTGAGTACGGAGTACTAGTACTTGTAGATAATCGTTCCTCGCTAGACCTGCGCAACCTCTAACTAGTTCTTATAGATATACACAGCAGTAACATTTTTCTTCAACTCCCTAACAGATGTCCGCTGAATAACAGACCCTTCACAACTGTATCAGAAATTCGGTGATCCCATTCTGAAGCTCATTGTCTGAGTTGGCAGCAAGCCTCTCCCAGCAGGAGTTTCAAAGTCACATTGTCCAGCCTGCAAGAATCAGCATTCACTCTGACAAAATCACGCCTCCCCATCTTGTCCGTCACACTCTCCGACTTCAGCTTGAGCTACTACCCCAGCAAAACCAGATGGATCAATGCACATATACTCTCCCATCTCATCCCACCTGAAACTGTCTTTCTCAGCAGCCAAAGGGGGAATAACATCCTCTCCTTCCCTAGCAAAATCTGGACTCTGAAATGCACCATATTCAAAATCATGGACAGCTGGGGCCCCTTCAGCACCTTAGGCAGCGGAATTTCTCCAGAACAAAGTCAGTGTGCTGGGCCTGTTGCCGGACCCATGGTGGGCGCAATGAGAGTCCAGAGCTGAGTTCTACAATAAGGATGCGACCATTGACGTGACAACTGACGCCCCTTTCCACAATAGCCTGGAGGAGTGGTATGACCGGTTCATCAACACAACTCAACTCAACAACAACGTCACATGGAAGTGCTGGGGGAAGAGGAGAAGAGGGCCATCTTGCACATGCCTGGCATGATGTTTCAATACTTGCCGGGCGACAGGGCTAACTACCATTCAGGACGTTGCGGGGTCTGAGTGGATGCGGAAATGGGTGCTTCCTGCGAAGCGGGAGGTGGAGAGCCTGAGGTAGTTTTACTCCTCCTTGGTAGTCAGTCCTCCCTGTAGATGCTCTAGTTCTAGTATACGTATACCCAACTCTCTCCTGCCAGCAAGGAGATCAGGGGCTTGGAGGCCCTGATTTCCGTGATTGCGTTTAATGGTTACATGTACTGTACATTTCGTATACGATGGATCCGGATCGTATGTGGTCAGCAAAGGCCACGATCGGTCGGATTTGCCTAGGATGTAAACCGAAACTACGAAAATCCCACTGAACGTATTATCATGTTCGTTTCCTTCCATCGACTGCACTTTGCTGATTCCCAGTGCCGATGTGCATGACGACCCTACTTTGCTAAAACGTGATCCGAAGATGGCAGACTTGACGCAGTTCAGTATAATGATCAATTCGGGCCAGCCTATTCAGAGTCTACAAATATGGAGCTGTTACCTCCCTTACAAGCGGCACCCTATCTTACGTCAGCCAGCTCGATAGTTAACTAACTAGTGGTGACGTTAGCTTTTTGTACTTCAAATCCATTAGGATCCTTTCGCTGAGTTGCAAAACAAGGGGTAAGGAGTATTCCAGTCCCCACGCCAAGGCACTACCAGGTGGCCGCACCAACCATTCGGCCATCGGGGCAATGATTACTTACATTTCTCTGATGATATTAATAAAAAAAAAGAGAGATAGAAAAAAGAATTTCAATCTATCTATAATACCATATATACAAAATATGTATATAACTAATAGCTGACTCAATCTTTTAGAAATCAGTGAATCATTCTAATATAATTTAATCTCTATATTCTACTATCTCAATATTCGATTCTGCTATTCAAATGTCTTTCAATATAACATTGTATTAATTTTATATAACTCTATTTTTAAAGAGTTTTAAAAATCTTCTCTAAATAAACATTGAGATTTTCATCTCACTGCTTATACTATATAGTCTTTTTCATTAAATTTGTAGATATTCTAAGATAGAATAGCACTGAGATGTCAATACTAGATTGAAGCAGACAACTGAAACTAAACTGAAAACAAATAATTACTCTAAAATATAGCATTGCAAAATCAAGATATTATAATACTAGTTCTTTAGAAATGATTCTTAGAACTCTATAAAAATAGAGTTATATAAAATAATACAATGTTATATTGAAAGAGATTCAAATAGAAGAATCAGATATTAAGATAATAGAATATAGAGATTAAATTATATTAGAATGATTCACTAATTCTTAGAATGTGATAAGGTAGCACTATGACCACTAAGGTTTTGTTGAATGGTTGCGCTCATAGTGATATATGTATACCCGTGGGTGTGGTGTGGCCCAACCGCCAGATGCAGCAGTTAAATAGATAGTATTATAAATAGATTAAATCTGATATAATGCCGATAGTAATCCTTTTAATCTACTACTAGTAACTTCATTCACTCAATCACGTATCTTTGTACAAAATTGAGCATTTTAATTTTACTATATCTAAGACTGATTTATCTCTGAATATCTCTCAATCTGCAATCGCTGAGTTGACAACTAGTAGTTCGTTGCGCAAGGAATAAAAGAGATGCATGAAAACAGGCTGCTTCAGCATAAGTTGCTTCACAGTTGGCTCTAACATGAATAATAAATGAAGAGTGCGCAGGAGCCGAAGGCGCAAGTGCCAGTATCCATCCGGGCTAGAAAAATTTGATTGAATCGAGAGAGAAAGTAGCTAGGAACATCCTCAACCGCATTCATTTTTCCCATTGTCGGCCCAGCAGCTCAGTACCCATGGGCATGGCCCATCATTGTCGGCACAAGTCGCACCGCACCGCCTTCCAAGATGGAGAATTGTAGAATCCGCACCCAACACGAGAGGAAAATAAAGCGAGCAATAACAATAAAATCATCGCAAGAGTCCCTCGAAACGGAAAACGCTCACTCCCTGGTGTGTGAACTTGCGCCCCTTGATGCAAGGAGAAAAAAGGTTGAAATCAAATCCCCAAAAGCAGACAAATGTTTAAAAATTCCCCAGGTCGGAGAAGCGAGCCACGTAGGGATCATTTTAGAGTCGGTCAGGCCGGCTCAAAAATGAAAAAAAAAAAAAAAAAAAAAAAAGCCACATGCATATTTCCCACATGGAGCGCGCCAATTGTGGACAGACAAAACCAAGAATTTTCCAAAGCTTCATGCTGCGCACTGTATGCAATCGATTTCACAGTGTGTAGTCTGTATAGGCGGAATGCCATGCTTGCTTAGCAAGCGCGCACAGACGTATGTTATCCAAGGGCTTCGTACAGGAATGACCCTTTTTGAACTTGGGGTTTGGCGATTCAGCTTCATGGGATGAAGCGCGGAAAAATGGGGCACTGGATAACTACAGGAAGGACGAACATCGCCGAATATGTGATGTGGACAACCGACGAGTTCGGACCTATCCTTTTAGTCTTTGTGGTGGTGCGTGCGGGATTCAGTCGACTGCTTCTGATTCGAACTCAATACAAAGAATGGCTGGTGACTTCACGATGGCCCACATTTCTAGCCAGTCGCTTTGCATTTCCTTCTGCTCGAGCACGGCATCCTATTTCACTGTGACGAAGCTAGGACTCCAGGGCGTCATCCAGGGAAGGGGAGGAGGATGGCGGGGAAAATATGAAGTCGTGGACTTATGGAGGACCTAAGTGAGGTAAAAACAGGGAATACAAGGGGCTTCTTCCCAAACTGGCCGGGGCGGAGGAAAGCACTTAGCTAGAGCAATTGCGAGATCCATGGAGCGGAGGAGAAACAAGGCGTTGACGTGATGTGATATCCAAGGTCTGACTGAACTTTGGGATGGATCAAAGAGAAAACCAAGATTACTACTACTACCACCCTTGCTGATGGCGTGTGACAATAGCATTCTTACATGCTTCCGCTAACTAACGAGAGACGGGTGAAAATCATCCGTATTTCTTCAATCTGACATTCCGGATCCTGTCCCGCGCTGGCTGGAGTGGGCGGTGAGGAATGCAGCGATCAACCGGCCTTATCAGATAGGATGTGCCTTTGCTCAAAGTTCACCCCGCGGCACCTTACAGCGTCCATGATCGCAACAACTCATCTCATCTGATCACAGAATGATGTCAACGATGTCAACCACAGTGCAAAGGGGCGAATTTAAGTATCAGACCAGCAGCAGGATTGGAGCAAGCTGCTCTCGGCTAAAGATGTAGCTTCAAAAGACAGAGCACCGCCTGGCCCTCAGCGATACCTGCAGCGTTGGATAATTGGTGCTGGAAAGGCTGACAAAACCCCATGATCGGGAGAATGACGTCGAAGAAGAGGAGAATTGCTCAACAGCCAACGAGAGTATGAACTGGCCGGACTGATTGAGAATAATGGATATAACTCGATCAACAGGAAAGCCAAAAACGCGTTGGTTGGGCGGTCTCTTTACCTCGATTCCTTCACACACACGCTCTGGAGTCTACAACAAATTCCAAGACTGGTGGGCAGCAATCAGCGCAAAGAGGGTCAAGGGCAACAAGGGCACCAGGCCCAGCAAGACCGACTGTTAAAAATAGCCACCCGTACAAACGAGCCCAGCATTGTCAAACTTAACCTGGTTAAGCACACCACCAAGTGGACAAGTCCTAGTATGACAGTATGGAGACCTGGGCAGTCCGCCGAGCTAACTTGTCCACATACCCGTGCCAAAACTTTGCCAGCATAAGCTGCGGATGTCGAGGTTGGAAAATGCCCCAAATTGGGCCGTGTCCGGAATTGGCCTGTATTCTATTCCGCTTCGAAGCCAGATTTCTCTTCGCCCCCCGTCGCAACGCGGAGTGTCCAGCAGGCTTCTCATGCGACCGCCAGCAGACCCAATCCGCCGTTGTCCCACCTGGACGCATTCTTTATTCCGATTCAATTACTCGAAATAGAAGAGCGCGTTTCCTGGCAATTACGGTTCTTATTTATTTGGGTCGTTGCATGCGAACAGCGGGTTACATGTTGTCGAGGCCAGCTTTATTTTTGCGATATACACAGACAGACAAACAATTGAGAGCAGCTTGGCATAAAATCGTAGATCTGCCGATTCTAAATAAATGCACGAACAATGCTGTGATACGTCCGAGTCCTCTTACAGACCAGACCGTCTTTCCCTCGAGGATATCAAACACAAAACTGTGTATCGATGGATCATGGAAGTGTGGGAAATCAACAATATCAACTTGGCCAGATGTCTTAAAACACTCAGTTAACTGTATCCTACGATCCTATCCAACAAGTGCATTTGCAATGAAACATCATGTTCCCCCAGCCAAATGCCAAGTGGGGGAAAGCAACAGGCGCAAAAAAGAAAAAAAGAAATGAAACGAAGGATCAACGATAGCCTGAAATCGCAAACCTCGATTTTTTTACTCCCTTCTTCTTTAGGGGCGCGTAACCGAGACTCATGCATGGCCTTCCATTCGCTCCTCGTCTGCACAACAAGTGCCAAGTTGCCAAGTTTCCAATCCTTCGCACCAGCGAGTGACAGAAAACCCTCTCCCGCCAATAGAAACGCCCAGGTGGGAGAGAAAATGTGATATCTCGACAGACGCCCGCATCCCTGTCGCTGAACCACCGCGTGCGAAGAGCGAGCAAAATGCCCTCAGCCAGTCAGCGGGGTGCAACTGGAGGACCGAGCATGGTGATTGGAGGATCTGTCGGTTGGTCGCTGCGGTCGCTCCCTTCGCGGCCCGCGAATGAATGATTGTGTTGCGAAGTTGCGAACTGGCAGTGGCAGGAGATGATGCTATTCTTAGCCTGGAGTGGGCTGGGGGCGGCGGGGCCGGCGTGCAACTCCTCTTTTGGCGATGCACCTAAGGCATTATGGGGCGAACCGGTGCGGGCGTGAGGTATCCTCCAGCCTGTAGGACTCGAGAGTGAGTTCTTCACAGTGATGTACCAGTACTGGTTACGCCGGGTGGTGAGGTCACTCCGTGACTTGCTTGCCCAGCCATGCTCGGTCGCAGGTCACATCCATGTCTCTTGAGTCTTGAACAGAAAGCTCCGGCGGAACGTGCATGGTGGGGAGGGAACATTTTTTCTTATTGCTAACATGCCCCGATTCTGCGAATCCCACTTCGAGTTCCAGATCTTGGAAGTACCGATCCTTCCATGGCACATAAGCTTTTGGCTGGGAGTGGTACATGTATGGACAAGAAAATACCACCCGTTCCCCGAGTCGTCCCCTCGCCCTTTGTTCCCCATCTCAACGCCTGTCTACATATACCTCGAAGCGCCCACCTACCCGCCCTTCTTAGAAAGTTTCTTCCCCCCTTGATGCGATCTTGTTTCTTGCGCCTCTTCGATACCCATTTCCATGTTTTGCTTCATTAACTATATATTGTTCTAATATTATCACTCGAGAACGGAAGGCGCTTTGATAGTTGCCCTCCTGCCTACTGATATAGAAAAATCGTAGAACCGGCAACGGTCTATCTCATTATATACATTTCCTATTATATATTGATTTTTCCCATATTTATTTTCACAATCGCTGCTCCTGCCACTGGTTTACATTGATTCGCAGGCTCATTTATTCTAATTTTTCCCCTGTCATGGTAAGTGTTATTTTCCTTTGTCCAGGGCCTACAAAAAAAAAAAAAATAAAATAAAATAAATAAATAAATATTATAAGGGCAGGAAAGGGGAGGGAAGAAGAGCTTTTCGTTGACTTGCCCACTTTTCAGGAGGCTCCAATTGTATTTCAACAACGGCGGTCGCTAGGGGGCGTACAAATGCTGCAAAAGCCGTCGAAAAACCATATGTCGCTTCTCTCCACGCGATCATACAACTCTCGGCCTCTGTCAGAAGCGACCGAGATATTTGACACCGATTACGAAGCAGAGTACTCTCCAATAGATACCTCTGCCCGCAGAAGTGTTGAATCAGTAAGTCACAATTTTCCTCGCATAGCTTAGATAGAAAAGCAAGCTGACAAAAATATACAGTTTGGCAATGACAGTGCCACAACGTTGTCAACCGAGGATGAGGCTCCCACTCCCGAAGACTCAGATCAGGGGTCGTTCAATTTCCAGTTTGATAAAAGCAAACCGGTGGAAGGACCATCGGGACCCCATCTATTCCGGGCTTCATTAGATTCGACGTTTTTTGAAAGATCGGAGGATTTAGAATTGTACTTTTCGCTATCTTCCATAGCGCCACCTCAAGGTTCGATAAGCTCTCGATCGACAAAAAGATCTAGCACAATCCCGCCGGAGCAGCTTCCTTATTATGAACGATCACGATCTTCAAGTGTGCCAGAGATCGCCCCCGTTGCTAGCGTCGACGATGTACGTTCCTGGACACCAACGCGAGTAGCAGAATGGATGTACGAATCTGGATTCGAGGATGCCATAGTCGAACGATTCATCCGGAATGATATCTCAGGCTCGGTCCTCCTTGATCTCCAGATGGATGATCTCAAGGAGCTAGACATTAGCTCGTTTGGTATACGACATCGGTTGATGAATATGATTCAGGGCTTTCGTGCTGAATCAACAAATGCTCTGGCCCCGGCTACAACTTCGGACCCTAGCTCGTCTTCTCAGGGCCTAAGGAGTTATACATCCACGAGACGAGACAACAGCGCTGAATGTTTCTCTCCAGACTGTGAGACCCCAACCAACCCCTCAACTCATCGACGGGGCCGCGCCAATCGTCTCTTCGCGGATGGCGATATAATCTCTCCAGCCGAGTCTGTTTCCATTGTTGCTATTGAACAACTGCTCCCGAAACTGCACAAGTGTTCCAAGGGCGAGAATTGCTCTAGATTCCAGAAGCAACAACGGAAGCTTGCACGCATAGCGACTGAGTTCCCCGATCAATTCACCAGCATCGACGGCACCATTATACCTCATGCTGGAAAGGAATCAGTCACTGGAAGTGTTGTGCGTCCCAAATCAGATGCAGCTCCCTCCGTCGTCGCGTCTTCTGATGTCCTTGGCCCTGGCCACACGCCTGAGTTCCAACTCAACGCTGAGAACCTTAATGGAGTGCAGCCTAGAGATCCCCAAGAAAATGTTCGACAATTCCTCACTTTTCAACACCTTAATAATGCCGCATACAACGAACCCAGTCCACCGATGGAGATATTCCCTCCCCTCTCCCCTCCTGAATCTTCCCAGCCTGCTTTCCATATGATCAACAATCTTCGCAATCTTCCAAAACTCATGATACCAGGCGATAGTGAGTCAGATGGTTTGCTTTCAGGCGGTCAGCGGACCGTTACTCCTTCAATGGGGTCAAGGCTGGCAGGCTCAGCTACAGCAACTCAGGAATACAACTCTTACCAATATCCACTGGATATGTCTCGCCAAACAAACACCCCATTTTCAGAAATGGACGTTCCCCTCACTGCCTTCCCTACCGGACCTCTGGATCGGGAGGCATCGCAATCAGTACCACCAAATATGTTTTATGGCAACCATTTGCGCCCACCAGTCGACCCAGTTTCTCGTTCAGCGTCGGCTAAACCTGACAATCATCGACGTCGTCCTTCGTTCGCGACTATGGCTCCAGTTGATGAGCTCCAGGCGATGCAACCAATCGACACCCCGGAAGACCGCCCGACTACTCCTCGCCCAAGTCATACGAGTCATACAACAGAACCTCACTTTAGGCCTTCCCGCGCCTCTGGAATCTCTCCTTCGACCCAGTCACACAGGTCCGATCCCGACGTTACTCATAGCGGATGGATGAAGAAGCGGAAAACAACCCGCCTCCTACGCCACGAGTGGCAAGACGCGCACTTCACCCTTCGCGGGACGGTCCTGGCCATGCACAAGGACGAGCGCGATGCGCAACGCCGCTCGCGGGCCTTGGAGTTCATCGATGTCGACGACTTCGCCGTCGCCTGCTCCTCGTTGGCCACAAACTCGAAGCTCACCGCGGCCTTCAAGCGCTCCGTCCTCCGCAAAGCTGCCAATCTACCATCGAACAGCGACGAGACTGCATTTGCATTCTCTCTCATCCCCGCCCACGACTCTGCCGAGCGCAGACACCTCTTCGCAAGCCAGGGCAAAAGCCACCACTTCGCGGTGAAGACTCGAGATGAGAGGATTAACTGGATGCGAGAGCTGATGTTGGCCAGAGCCCTGAAGAAAGGCAGAGAGGAAGGTGGCGAGCTCACTATCAATGGCAGAAATGTCATTTGAAGAAGCCTCCGTCCCCACTTCTCATGCTCATATATCCCCTCACCCCACACCTGATTTCAAGACACTTTCCTTATCCCTTCTCTTTATGCTGTTATGTTTTTATTTTGTTTTTCATTTTTCAAATTTTTTTCTTCTTCTTTGCTTTTTCTTTTGTTTCCGTCTTCATAGCCACTATAGCGAGCATTTCATTTTTTGCAGTTCCGTGTAAATATCCTTATTTGTGCATAGGCAGATACCCCCATGTACTATCCGTCCCCTATCAAACATACATATATACCCTCTCCTTCCCACGTTTCCTCCCCCACCTTTTTATTCTTTCACTTCCTACAAGCAATCCTATTTTGCGTATGAGAAACCTACCTGGCTCCTTTCCAGCCTAAAATGTATGGATGGTAGTCACCAACTGGCAAATATTTGTTGTGGTCGCCATTTTTTTTGCTTGAATAGCTTCTTTGCAAGTCTTCTGGGTGGCGATTCCTTATTTTACCCATCTCTTTTCTTTTTTTCCTTCTTATGTTTTCGTTTCGTTTCTCGCTCATATCATTCTTTCCCCGTTCGTTCTTGTTTCATTTTCATTATTTGCGCCCTCCTCCAGAATGTCTTGAGCCCAATTCCAACCCCACCGCCCTGTTTCCCCTCCACGCTCTCCTGCAGTTTCTTTTATTATCTTTTCATATTTACGATCTACTACTCTTCTCCAAGTATTCAGCTTGATGATACCTAGGTACAATTCATTAGCTAGCTTTATGTTAGTCATGTAGTTAGTTAATTCGTACAGAATAATAAAAAAGAATATCTATATATATAGGTTCAATGATTAAATTAGGATAGTTGCCGGTTTAATTTTGTTGTTTTTCTCATTCATTGACAACCTGAGAAGTTGATGAGCCCTGAGGGAAGAGCAGACTGGCGGTTTGGGTTATTCAATCAGACATCGATTCTAATCACGAAACGAGTATCGTCGTTTCATAGCGAAGTCGAAGCCCCATGCCGTATCAGCGAGTGATCTCATCATAGAAACGGTTGACAAAAGTATAAACACTTCGGATAAAACAAAACACGTTTCAGAAAACCCCGTTCGTTTTATTTAACGGCCCTAAGACATGATCAATCATTGGGCTTCTCGGTTTTTCCCCAAAACATTACAAGAAGAAAGTTTGTCCAGTCCATCACAGATATCACCAATCAACATTTTTTACTACCTGCCGTGCTTGCGCCGCCATTACATGTCATTCATATATGCCCATACCACGGCAGGAATCCACGCACAACTAATCTCCCTTGAATCTCATGCAAAAATTATTCCAAAAGATAAAACCGAAGACTCCCTCTCGTAGCTCCCTCCAGAAGCCAAAAACCCAATCAAAAACATAAACTGGAGCATGAAATCATTGCCATGCCGCTGCATGCCGCCGCAGTCTTGATATCACCCCACCATGGACACCACAATGGCTAACCAGCCATCTGCATACCCGGCTACACGCACAACCTCCTCCAGCGGTGCGGTCATAGGAACAACAGCCCCCTGGAGCACAGGTTTCGCCAGGACCGGGATCCGTTTGCTGGGGAAGAGGCTGGGAAGAAGCGAATTTAGACTCGATCCTATAGTCTGTGGCTGCGGTTGGGTTTGTCGTCCGGGTGCTCCAGTTTGATTGGCAGCGGGCGGAATCGTGGGTGGAAACAGAGACTGTATTACTTTAAGTGACGGGGTAGCGGAGTTCGGCGGAGATGGCAGGAAAATCCTCAGTGGGATATTTCGGAAGTGATTGGGCCCGCCAGGGATGAGGATGTTGGAAATCCGTTGGAAGTTTGTGAAGTCATCTGGTTTCCTTTGCTGTTAGTATTTGTTCCTAGTGCAAACTACAAAAATGGATCAATCGATGCATGCATGCACGCACGCTCTTGGACAGCTTGCCACAATCCAGACGAATCCTCCTTAGACAATGTCATGATACGCTTTGCGGTTCCATTCCGCACAAAATCGGCTTCTTTGACACTATTAATGAATGCATCATGAATAACTCTTCCGTCAGCATCGAGCCGAACAAGCTCCTGGTCCGGCCAATCGCTAAAATGAACCTGCAACTGCCAAGGAATTGGGTCGCCGGGTTCGTGCACATTGTGGGGTTCAGGATCATTTGGCTGTCGTGGAGAAGTTGTATGCGAAAGGTGTTCCCCAACGGTAGACTTGGAAGTAACTGGATCTGCTCCCGAATATAGATCATACAGGAGTCCGAGGGGATAGTGCCACTTCAGGGGAACCCCTTCAAAGGAAAACCAGCCTTGATAGTCCTGGGCTTCAATATCAATCAAGGATGTAGCAAAGAAGGCACGTAGCCTCGGGAGTAAAAACGGCAAATATGATACACGAGGGTAACATATCTGAAATATCTAGAGTCAGACAAATGCATCGATGATGGAAGTACACGCCTGGGGTTCAGATAAAGGGATCGAAATTACAAGATATGGGTCTGCCTTGTCATATGTCCTGCATTCAGCCGGAGACAATGTTATTTCGAGAGGAATACGGCCCTCCCACACTCTTCGCTGGATTGCACTTGGGGCTGGCGTTGGGCTTGCCATGATTCCCGGTTGTGCCTAATATTGATGACAGCCTAGCAGAGTAATATTCATCCTCGGGTCTAATAGGTTATCAAAGTCAGTTGCGCTCCACTTCACAAATATTATTCAGATCGGGGCATACTAGTGCTTTATACTCACGTAGACACCAACGAACGATCACTATTTTACTGACGGCTTATCCAAAACTGCACTCCACATTTGATTCTTACAATCCAAAGGCGGGGCATGTCATCACCACGACAAGTTCATGTCAGATGGAACAAACTACGATCAATACAAGGTTTGATCCGTAATTAACATGGCGGTCCTCGATGATAAGATATGTAGAACAAGAATGTTTTCTCGGTCGATGTTGTTGGATAGGGAGAAACGGACACACGTGACTAAAACGTCAACCTTGGAAGGCTTGTTGTCCCCAATATCAAAATCTGTATCTTCTTTCGTCTCATTCTGTATTTTGTCCAAATCAACTCTGGGACGATTATCCGGAGAGGTGCCAGTTAATTACAGTTTATCGCTCCAAGCTCCCACTGGTCAATTTAGATGAAAACTTGTCATCGACTGCCATGGTCCATCATTCCAGTAGTGTTCGGCCAAGAACATAAAAGTAACACCAAAACGACCTAGTATATTCCAAATTATTTTAAAATCCTCTTTGCAGCCTTTCGTTTTAACTGCGGTGATCTTTTCGTGGAGATCCTCCACAAATTCCCAAGCCTGAGGTAATCAAGGAAAAACTCAAAAGCCTAGAATCAAGCCTTGATTGATACTTCCCTGGAAGACTTCAAGTTTTGTTCAATGCTTTGGAGTAACTATGGCAGACAAGAGACGCCCTTCGAAGAGGATTAAGACATCCCATGGAACTTTACAAGATGGTTACGATAGCACTTTAAAAGATGCTAACACCTTAGCATCCCTGAGGAGATCTATAACGCCCCCTTTACGGCAGCCTACAGGTCAACCTAGCACATCCGGCCCGTATATATCGCAAGTAAATGCCCCTATATCCTCGAGGGTCATCCCGTCTCCAATCCAGCTCACCCATATCCGCGATTTCTCTGCATCGTCAGGCTACAATACCGATTCTGTAAAGTTGAGGGACATTCTCGGGGATCCTCTCATCAAAGAATGCTGGCAGTTCAATTACATGTTTGACGTTGACTTTCTTATGAGCCAGTTTGACGAAGATGTGCGGGATTTGGTCAAGGTGAAAATTATACATGGTTCTTGGAAACGGGAATCTCCCAATCGAATTCGCGTCGATGTCAGTTGATTCCTACGTTCTGCTAGAAAATATCTCTTCCCCCTCAGCTTATTCCCGTGTAGATTTGACACATGGCGCATATAATACAGGTGGTTAACTTTGCTGACTCGTATGCAGGAAGCCTGCCGCCGGTATCCCAATGTTGAGCCGATAGTCGCCTATATGCCAGAGCCGTTTGGGACACATCATTCGAAAATGATGATTCTCATCCGGCATGATGACCAAGCGCAGTAAGTATACTTTGCTAATGTAGCTGTCTTTCTTCACATTGACATTTCTACAGGGTTGTCATTCACACAGCAAACATGATTGCTGGGGATTGGGCGAATATGTGTCAAGCAGTATGGCGATCCCCGCTGCTTCCAATGCGACCCGAAATGGAAAATGGACATTCTTATGCGACCTTGGACGGTGTCAGAAGAGGAAATCGATTCAAAAGGGATTTACTAGCCTATCTCGAGGCATATGGCAATAAAAAGACCGGCCCCCTAGTCGATCAATTAGAAAAATATGATTTTGGCGCCGTTCGAGCTGGTTTGATCGCCAGCGTCCCAACTAGACAAGCAATCGACGAACTCGATTCGGAAAAACAAACCTTGTGGGGCTGGCCTGCACTGAAGGACGCAATTCAACAAATCCCTCTTGGTGGGGGGAACAATACTGTGGGGAAGAAGCCTCAAATAATCATCCAGGTGAGATCGATGTCCCATAGAAGGAGGCTGAAGGCTTCGCTCTTGGGAGTGCTCACCACTCACACGCAAATTCCAGATATCTTCAGTGGCAACGCTAGGACAAACCGACAAATGGCTAAAGGAGACGTTTTTCGCCGCTCTCTCACCATCACGACCCAGGGCTTCGAACTTGTTTAACCCCAAAACAGACCCTCCTACCAAATTTTCAATCATATTTCCTACCCCAGATGAAATCCGCAGATCATTGAATGGCTACGCATCCGGCGGGTCTATCCATATGAAACTCCAGAGTGCTGCGCAGCGAAAACAACTTGAGTATTTGCGTCCATATCTATGTCGTTGGGCTGGAGACACAGGCGATGGCAGTGACATATCTGCAAAACACCCAATTAACTCCGGACAAGAGCGGTGTGATAGCAAGGATGCCAATGAATCAGTTCAAAAATACGTCACCACTGGTAAAAACAGCCAGCCAATTCGAAATGCAGGGCGTCGCAGAGCAGCACCGCACATAAAAACATACATCCGGTTTTCGGATGCTGACCTAGCTACTATCGACTGGGCAATGGTAACCTCTGCAAACCTTTCGGTGCAAGCATGGGGCGCTGCTGCGAATGGGAAAAAAGAGATAAGGATATGTAGTTGGGAAATAGGTGTGTTGGTTTGGCCTGACTTATTCATCGACAGAGAGGTGGAAAAGGATGGTGGTGGAAGTGGGCAGAACGAGAAGGGGAAGGGGAAGGAGCTGCCACGTCATGATGGTGATAAGGATAATGGCTACAACAAACCAGCCGCAGTAATGTTGCCATGCTTTAAGCAAGACATGCCTGAAGTGCCAGAAAACAATGGTTCTGGTGCATCTACTACTTCTACGTTCGTGGGGTTTCGTATGCCATACGACCTGCCTTTGAGTCCATACACCCCACATGACCAGCCGTGGTGCGCGATAGTTGACTACAATGAACCTGACTGGCTTGGGCAGACGTGGGAAGAGGAAAAATAACAGCATTATACAGCCGCGTCTCGGGCCCATGCGACAACGGATGTCAGGGGTTCAAAAACAATGTGTGTGGTTTTTGAACCCTGTTAGTGTCACTAAAACAACATACAAGTCACTTGATGATTTTTTTTTCTCCCCAGATCCTAGCCCCCTAACTAATTCTCCAATATAGCCCTGAATTCTACACTCCTTGAGGTGATGAGAATGGTGTGGGGTGTATTAATACTAGTAACTTAGGTGGAGCGAAATCACGATAAGAGTTGAGCATGCATTGGCTGGCAGGGTTCGAAGTTCATTGTGGTTGAAAATTTTTGGCAAAAATCCGAACCTCATTCAGCTGTAAACAGCAAACCTCTCTTATAGGAAATGGTAACTATAAAATTAAACTTCTACCACTAGGTTAAAAGGAGAATTCCGCTAATTACCATAGTCTCAAGTTCACAATTTCTATCTTGAAGTTTCAAGAGATGGGAGCACAAAATTAAGGTACCTACGGCATCCAAACAGCAATCGACGGTAAATTTGGGAATGGATTGAGGATAAAAGTTATCCGTACAGAGGGGTGGGATGTTGTTTACAAGGAAACAGTGGTTTTATGATGGAGGGGGCTACTCGGGAGGTTTAAAAGAGAGCGCTCTGAGCCAGAGCAGATTCAATTTACGCAGTACACAATCATTGACCGCCTCAAACTTTAACAGATAGACTGATGGCCGGATGAAACACGGCCTGGCAGGAATTTCGTTAATGGGGAAGTGGCTAAAACCTCTGCAAGTGAAGGGGCCGTGCGACAATTTTGAATTCAGTACGACTATATTGGTTCAGGGGTAAAGAACGCTTGGAAGGTCTTCAGACGACTCTTTTTGATCATGATAAGTATTAACCTCTAGTTAACTAGTCAGCTATCTCGTGGTTGACTTGTTGACTTCATTAACTAGTTAGTTAGTTAACTATCAGTGTTTTCTCTACTAATCATATGTATTCTGTACATACTCTCCATACAGAGCATGAAATTGAACACACATCAGTAATAATCAGGTTCGAACATGCCGTAACCCGAACTATGACGTATCATGGAAGTCGAATGACCTTCACGGTGCCTCCACCCGGTTAGTTCCGAGGTCGGATAAACCCAGCGCCGGAACCGTCCGCCACCTCGAAATCATCATCATCATCATCATCATCATCCCAGCCTCCGTTGTCACAACATTTTGGAGCCATATCTTAACTTCACACGCCCGACATTCTTAGCATCCTTCATCTCTCATTCTCCCCCTCCCGCAGGCGCTGGCAGGGATCGGTAGGATCCGTCGCGGAGCATTTCAGATTTTCCGGCAAGTTTGAAGCGGAGCTAACGCCGATCCAAAACGGCCCCTCCTCCTTCATCTCTTGACACCCGAACTGCCCTTCTCCCCTCAGTTGGATACGATTTTATTGTTATATCCCGCGTCGACCATCTCGAATATCTGGCTCTTAATTCTTTGCTGTCGAATTCCTATGCTTTGCTCTCGAACTCCACCAACTCCAACCGGCGTGTAAATATAGCTCCCAATTCGCGTGCCTCCCCAGCATTTTGTCAATAAGGACAATAACAGTCCATTAAGAGGTTACATATAACTCCCCTTCAGGGTCCGGTTGCCAGGGATTCCTCTGAGCGGTTCTGGTAACTTTGGCCGAATCATGTTGTCATAAGAGCTCGTCAGCCTCCAGCTAATCATATAGCATTCGTCGATTTTCTCTGCCAGACCTCCCACGCCGATTTTGGAGCAGGAGGCTCATTTCTATCCGGCCACTGTGTGATGTGTTCGGATAGTTAGCGAAAGAGCAGCAGGTGTTAGGCACAAGGCCTCACTCCAATAATCATCGTCTTGGAACAACAAAGGTGGAAAAAAGGAAAAAGGTCCTCTTGACTCTGTATCATAAGTTTGACATCATGTCTACCAACCGCCCATTTCTCGCCAATTTCCTAGCAGCTTTCAGGGCCCAGTCTGCCTACAAGGCATCAAAACCCCCTTCGCCGGGCCCTTCAACAAACTCCCTCTCACAATCCCATGTGTCATCCTCCAATTCAGCATCCCAATCCTCCTCTTCACCACCCAATACGCGAACGGTAGCTGCAAAGGCAACATCCTCATCGTCAGCCTCCGCAGGCGGATGCACAAACAACAACCCGTCCTCGAGTTCCCCTTCCCAATCCACAACTGCAGCCGTTCAAGCCGCTGCCTCAGCAGGCCAACTACATTCTCACCGCCACCACCACCACCACCACCATCATCATCAGCAACATCTCAACACTAATCCCCATCCGCAGTCCCATGCCACCACGCCACCAGCAGGGCCACTACCAATACCAATACCGTCCTCACACAATAGACATCGTCGGGGAAGCGACAGCAGCAGCGGGAGCGGAGGGTTTCGCGATGCCTTGGGCGCCGAGAAGTGGTATGTGGGCGGGCGGACAGCTGCGGGCGAAGAGCGCTTCTATCCGCTTGGTTTGGTAACTAAAGGGAGTCGACATCTTGGGCGGATTGGAAGTGCTGACCAGCTCAGTCTTTAAGGCGATGTGGCGTATTAGTTTGACCAGAGGGGATAGGGTTGAGTGCGTGCGTGCGTGCGTGAGTGCGTCCATCTCCAGATTCGAAGTTAGCACGACGTACTGCAATTTCGCCCTATACCTTGTTTATTACTATTCCCACTTGGAAAGTCCTTGATTATTCCGTACGAAACGCCATAACCAGCCCAGTTGACGAATTTATCCGTGGTGGCGGTGTAGTGTGGTTTCCATGACGAAAACATGTATAGATGTCAAGATTTTTACACATGAATTTGCCTTCTCAGTTTTGTATTTTGTTTTGCTTTTTGAAACAGCTGGTGAAAAGGTGGAAAGGAAATAACAGACGACTCCTACGAATATTTATAGTCAACGAAGGAGAAACCATTTGGTACGAAGGAGGAGAAGAATACTAAAGGAAAGTACCAAATCTGGATCCATATGAGATGACGGGTCGAATGTCCGACTATCCAGCAGGATAAGGAGATGCGACAAAGTGTTGCGCCCGACCCATATTCCTACTCGTGTGGAGATTGCAGTATACTGCATTCGTCTCAAATATCTTTTTCTTATCGGGTTATGATTTCGCTTTTTTTTTTTAAAAAAAAAAGGGGGGGGGAAGGGGGAAAGGGGGGAGGATGCTGAGCCATAAGGCAATTTCAGTCAGGTCTTCTCACGCCCACATAGGATCTCTTGTTCTCTTTTATTTTTTTTCTTGTCTTCCTTTTATCCTCTATTTCCCCCTCCCCTTCCCTCACCCCAAATGTAGCATAGATACTCCTCTCTTCCTAAATACCTCCTTACTACATTCAATGCCAACGGGTATCGTTGCGCCTTTTCCTCATTTTCTCCTGTTCTTCTGCGCGAAGACCATTTTGTGAAATAAAATCAGTCATTCTCCTCTCCCTCTCCCTCTCCCTCTCCCTCTCTCCCTCTCTCCCTCTCTCCCTCTCTCCCTCTCTATTTTTTTCAATCATATTTCGTTGTATAAAAGCCCCAAAATATATATATAAACACCCACAAAGACCACCCAGTGTATTTACTGTACATACATATATCCTATTTTATATATTTTCCCTTTCCTTTATCTATTTAACCAGGCGCAGACCATATCTATGTCTACGCAGGTATGCCCCGTTGATACGCATCATTGTATCCACATAAAACCAAAAAAGGGAGCCGGGGAGGGGAATACCAGAACTGGAGACTGGACTGGGTGAGGAAGGGTGAGGTGCTTTGTAAGAATGAAATGCACTCGTTGATGATCCGGGCGGGTGAGGAAAGGTTCCGCAAGAGAGTCGAGCTGGCTTTTGTTATGTTATGTTATGTTATTTTATTTTATTTTTTTTTTTTTTCTATGGTATAGGTGTATAGAAGGAATATCTATCTATCTACATTTGCTGCACATGCCACTTTATTTGAGTACATAGTACTGTACATAGCTAGGGTTGAGGAATATGGAATAATCCCCCTCTCATTGGCTAAAACTTTGGGGGGAATTTTTTTTTTT